ACCGGCACGAACCAGAGCTTCGAGACGTACTGGGACCGCATCAAGGCCGAGTTCGACGAGCGGAAGCTCGTCGACCCGTACTTCAAAGGCGTCTACATGTAGCGCGGCTCCAAGGCGATGACGAACCATTGGGGGCGTATCCAGTTGGCGTGCAACAAATGGCATGAAATCATCGAGGAGGTCGTGGCTCGCCCGGAGAGCGGCGCCAGCGTTGAGGATCAGGTACGCACGCCGTTCGCCCGCATCTCTTCGTCGCCAACGCCCGCCGCCCGCCAACTGTTTGTTCCTCCGCGCAGCTGCTGCGTATGTTCACCATGTATCGACGCGACAACCAAGACGCCGACTTCAAGCACCTCCACGTCTACAAGCGCATTGACAAGTGCGAGAAGTGGGCAGAAGTCCGACGTACCCTCGACAAGGCCAAGGAGACATACAAGCCGGACGCGACAACTCTGGGCGCGTCAGAGGGGCGCCCGGACGGCCACAAATTGGCAAAGAAGGGGAAAAACGCCGACGCGGCAACTGCGCGAGTGCAGGAGTCCATCGAGCATTGCCTCGCCGACGCCCAGGCCCAGGCCGTCCTACGTGAAGAGAAGACCGAGGCGCGGTGGTCGTCGCTGATGAAGAACAGCGCCATCAAGCTCGACCTGCTCCGGACAAATGTCGCCGCGAAGAAGAGGAACACCGATATGGCTTTTCTGATGGGCGGGGCGGACATACTCCAGAGCAACGACGAGCAGCTCAGGGCGTGGTACATGGCGGAGCGCGGCCTCATCCTGAACCAGATGCAGACGGCAACGCCGACGATGCCGACGACGCAAGCTCCCGCGCCCACGACCACATGGACGCCAAGCCCGAACGACGCCTCTACATCGCCGCCCAGCAGTGCCGAAGCCGTGCCGACACAGCCCAGCACCGAAGCAGCTCCGACACCGCCGAGCCCGCGCACGCCGACTCCGCCAACGCCTGAAGCCGATCCCGCCGAGTGAATCATTGCGCATGCGAACTTGCGGCGTGCGGCGCTCTGTTTTTTGTAACGCCAGACTACGTCCGATCGCTGGATTTGCGGCGTCTTTTGAGAGCGGGAACGACCAAGTTTAAATTTCCCGCATCCTAAGGCCGGCGCTTGAGGACGTGACTGGGAGCTAGGTCGCCCCCAGAGGCCGAACTAGCGCCGGCACGCCCCCAGGCCGCTCTATTTAGGCGCCCTAGGGGGCCGAACGGCTGGAGATGCCCTTAGATAGCTGGTCCTAGCTTGGTGGAGTGGATGGGCATGGTAGCTCACAGCTCCATGCATTGATCCATGCATGCATTGCATTGCAGCAATCCATATTCTTGCCAGCTTGTGCGTGTAGCCATGTAGAGCAACAGCAGAACCAAATCGATCGACCGGCTTTGAATACTTGCAGGCCGGTTGCTCACGGCGACCTGCGAGCCAAGCATTCACGTGAGCCAAGTAAGTAGTACCACGGCAGCCAGCGAAGTAAGTAGGACGACGTTCAGGAGAGCGGCCAACGTACAGCGGCATAAAAGATGGACGGCAATCGGCCGCGTCGCCTGCAGCATAACGCTGGCGGGCATCGACCGTGCCTTGCCGGAGGTTCTCTCCGTTCAGGACTTCAGGTCAGGACGAGAGGGCGTCGTGACCATATAGACGTATTGCACTGCATGTTGGTGCGGTCGTGACCGCGCTCCTCCGCAGGAGACCTTCGTAGGTGTGATGCACAGATGCAGAGTGCCGTGCATTCGCACCTGGCCGTCGTGGCAACACCACCTTGCATGCCGATCATATCTTTCGGCACTGAAAATTAAACAACCAACTAACAGTGCGTTGCTGATGATACTATAGCTGGTACTACTGCTGCTGCTGCTACTACCCATGTGCATGTTTGTACTATCCTTGTGTGTCTTGGGTGGGCTTCACTCACTCCACACCATATATAGCATGCAATTGCAAGCAAAGAAATTAGGCAATGGTCTTGGCTCTCTTCCCACACCATGATACTAGTTAATACACCCTATGTAAACTTTTATATGACTTTTTAGATCACTAATGATCAATAGTGATCTATAAAGTCATATAAAAGTTTATGAATTGTTGTCGTCTTTGATGCAGTTGTATTTGACCTTTCCTCTATATGCTCAGACATCATTTATATGCTTATTTATCCAGCTTTGGTATAATTCATCAAGTGCTGTATGTCTGAATCTACTAGTGTACTATTAATTGGATAGATCGACGATACTGGATAGTACTCCCTCTGTAAGTTAATATAAGACATTTCTTAAAACAATTATAATGTAAAAAACGGCTTATATTATGTTACGGAGGAAGTATTTGTGTAATGTGTTACCCTGAATTATGGCCATCTTAGTATTCGACCTTTTCTCCATATGACCAGACATCATTTATATGACCTTTTTTTAGATGTGTGCACTAGGAGTGGTCAATATGCCTCCTAATTCTAGAATAATTGTTTTTACACACATTTTGATAAAAAGATCAACCCATGAAAATTTTGTTGCCGATTGAGTTTATCAGTTGGTTGAAAAGTCGGATTGTGTGAATGTGTATTGAAGGTGTTTGATGAAATGTTTTGTAGCGCCCCGGGACTGACACTATGCACATCTAGCAACCTCCAATAGCCTCCGCATAATATCGATCTTAAGGTGTCACCTTCACACAACGTACACATGGAAACAACGTATATCATTGAGACGTTGGCATTGCGAGCTTAGGTGATGATGAGTTTATCTTGTTGTCCGCCATCACGGTGGCACATGAGTCGAGGGGGAACATGCACATCCGATGCATCATGGTATTTAAGCATTGTTAGCCCATTTTAGTTGCCAATCTTCTTGATTTCCTATGCTAGAATTTCACTTGATCAATTATAAACAACTTGATGTGCATATGTAACCTAATTTGAATTCTGGCGCAAGCTACATTAATTTCATGGTCAAACTTAACTTGACGATCTCGTTATGTCATATGGTGGATTAGAATGCACAACTACGGACCGCCGTACAGGACGGCCGGCTTCATCCTAGTCAGTAACAACCCATATGTAATGCCTACGTTAATTGTATCATCTATGTTGGATGTTGTATAATTTGTTGTTGCCTCTTATCATTGTTTTGCATCATGCATCATAATCATCATTGCTTTGTTTGTGACATATTTAATTTTGTTGTGATCTTGTGTGGAACTCCTTCCCTTCATCTTCATCTTGCTCGTTCCAACCAAACCATCATCAAGTTTCAAAAATCCCATCTCAATCCTTTGCTTTTTCTTTCTTTTGTCCAATAAATTCAAGTGGCATTTTTTCCTGGTTCAGATTAATGTTCACTATATTTCTATAGTCTCTACACCATGGCAAGACCCACTCCTCCAAATTTCAGCTCATTTGGGAATGATCTGGTTAGACTCGATGATGATGAGTTTATTTTGTCTGTCCGCCATCAGGGTGGCAAATGAGTCTAGGAGACACATGCACACTCGTGCATCATGGTAGTTAAGGGTTGTTATCCCATTTTAGGAGCCAATCTTCAGTTGATTTCTTACAGCGGAATTCCCCTTGATCAATCAGAAATAACTTGATGCGCATTTGTAACCTGATATGAATTCTGACGCAAGCTACATTAATATAATGGTCAAACTTAAGTTGTGATCTCGTTATGTCATAGATTCTTCGAACCTCAGTTTGCGCTAAAGAAAAGTTAGTTGTCCTAGTAAAAATAGTTTAGAGGCATGGTCATTTGATATGTGAGCATGTGATGGATTAGCATGCAAGGATCTTGAATTTTTTTCCCAAGTGATAGATTTTCCATGTGTTCAGAAGAGATTAACTAATGACCATCTCACTTTATTAAAGCAAGGGTTTATATATTTTAAGGTTTATAGTTTAGGGTTAGGCTTTAGGCTTTACAACAATATCTGGATTGTTACGATTAGAGCAAAGCTAATTCCTTCATAGGAGCCGGTCTCTTCCCGGTAAAGTAATGAGAAAGAAGGAGAACTAATAGAGAATTACTTATGTATATTGACATCGCCTAGAAATTAAAAAAAAATGAAAAGGGATAAAAGGGAGAAAAATTAAGCTCATTCAAGATAATGCCTTGAAAGCACGGATTGTTGGGAAGCACGTGATGGCTCAGCACTTTATGCCTTGGTGGAGACGTGTCATCAGTGGCCATCACTTTCTTCCTTCTTTGGACACGCTTTTCAAGTAGATGATAAATGTCAAGATGACAATGCAAAACTTTGAAGCCCCATCATCCATTCTCAACAAAGATAAATAAGCTCAGGAATGATCTCGTGAAAAACCCAGTGTCACATGGTATTACACAATGTAACTCAAAGTTAAGGTTGCATCCGCTAATGACATCCAATCATGCATAAAGAAGGATATTAAAAATAATGAAACTATTTTCCTAAAATGTCTTAGAAGCTAGCTTATTAAAATGATCGATTTGGCACCCGTCGTTAAGAATGGTGTTACTAGAAATCACACTAGTTGAAAATGACCGCGCGCGTGTAGCTAAAATAAGCTAGCTAATTTTTTACTGCATGTCATGTGTGTGCTGTGGTTCACTCACACTTTTGTGCATCTGCCAGCAAATTAAGCATCCCATTGCATTGCCAAAGATGGCATGCCCTCTCCTTCCCCGTGGTTTCCTTTGTCCACAGTCACATGGGCCTCTGTGTGCGCGCGCGCGGCTCGATCGACACGTCGTGGTGGGCGCCCACGCTGCGTCCCTTTGCATCGTCTCGGCTCCACACCATAGTCCTCCGCCTCCAGGCTCCAACACCACACCATAGTCACGCTAGGGATCAGTACAGGAGTAGGGAAGCATCTCTCACATCGATCGACGAGCGGCGGTGAGTCCATCCCCTCCTCCTCCGTGTCCCCGTTCCCGGAGATGCTTCACTTTCATGCTAATGCTTCATCTTCTTCTTGTCCACTTGTCCTGACTAGCTAGCTTGGAGCCTTGGATCCATGGAGTCCCCGCAGAAGAAGGCTGGATCCATGGATGGCACTGGCAGCGAGAAGACGCCTCTTCCTCATCTGCTACCGGTGACCGTGGCGAAGAAGACGCCTCGTCCGAATGTTGTCCGAGAGGTCAGCGAGTGGGTGCTCGTGACCGCCTTCTCCTTCGCCTTCGCCTTGGTGTTCTCCTTCGGCTTGGCCTACGCACTCGAGCTCTTCCACGTCCAGTGCAGCCAGGTAAAGACGAGTCGGCGAGCTCTTCCACGTCGCTATTCATGTTCCTTCGCGTTCTGAATTTCCTCCTCCGCAGTCCTCCCTCTTTCTTCGGTGCGGCCTGCTGACGGACGCGGAGGAAGCTGTGATGAACGCCCTAGGTATCGGGATGCTGTGCTGCGTCGCGCTCCAGGCGGCCGCAGCGGCGCTGGCGCTGCGTCTCCAGTGCCGCCGTCGCTGGGTCCGCCGTGCCCTCGCCTACCTCGCGCTCGCGCTCACCATCGGCGGCCACTGCTTCTACGCCGCGCTATCCCGCCTCTTCCTCGTCGCCGACCCAGGAGACCTCTTCTTCAGGATCTGCTCAACCGTGGGCATCTTCGTCTGCGCGGCGGGAGACACCATCAGCTTCCTGGCCCTCATCCTCGGCCGCGAGTAGGACTGGGAAGCAGGGCAAGCAGCGGATCATGTCTATGGATCCTCTCATGACTCGTGAGGTACTGATGATGAGAGACTGATGAATATTGAGTGCAATAACGTAGAGCGTGCATTATGCTAGCTGCGACGATTGATCGAGTGCCCTGCCCTATGTTTGTGTGAATTTACTAGTGTACTGCCTTATCTTTGATGCAGTAGTATTTGACCTTTTCTCTATATGACCAGACATCATTTATATGCTTATTTGTGCAGCTTATCTGTGTGAATTTATTAGTGTACTGCCCTATGTGTGAATTACTGAATTCTGGTCGTCTTTGATACAGTGGTATTTGACTTTTCTCTATATTTTTTCCAACCGGGCTCACATCCCCTTTCCATTAATTTCGCAATCAACGGAAATACATCAGTCTGTATCCAAATTGTCTAAAAGCCCAAACCACTAGCCACTAACAGAATGGAAGATACCACCACCAGTTTTTTGTTTTGAGAGCTAAATGAGACTGAAAAGGGGGAGCAAGTTGGTGCATCATCAGGAAACCCACTGCAAGATGATCCTGGAACGAACCATTTGCCATGGGGCGAAAACCTGATGACACTCACAAGCCACAGCCCAACGAAAACAAAAGGTCCAGGATAATATATGACGACAAACTTCTGCAACTAAGTGAACTCCTGCCGGAAGACATAAACCCAGCGGGCAATCAGACCCCAGTGGGGAACAGCAAGAAAAGGGACCGAGCGCAGACTAGCCAATTTGGACCCCATCTCTGTCTCCTAAGAGCGGCCTGCCTCGAGGGTGAGATCTGTCCACCAGCGTAGCAGCCGCGTGAGCCAGCCTCTTCACTCCAGCCCGGAGCTTCACCTTATCATCTTCCTTTAGCAAACCTGCCTAATACATAAAAAACGAGCAGGCAATGAAAACAGCCTCCAGAGGAGAGCGAACAACATGGTTATCAAATGTAACTTTATTGCGGAGTGTCCAAACACCCCAGCATATTGCAGCAATAATCATCATGTAAAAAAGCTTCCCGCCCGGAAAAAACTTATATAGCCAAGCGAAGCTCTGCCAGAGAGAACGGGGACAACAGGATGCTCCAGCCGTCATGCCCAACACTCCCCAGACCGAACGAGCAAGCGAGCAAGTAAAAAACAAATGATTTGCTGTCTCAACGTCAGTACAGAAGGAACACACGGGATTCCCAGTCCAGTTCCTGATATGCATATTGTCCCGAGTAAGAACTGCATTTTAAAATAGCTGCCAAAGGAAGATTTTTTATTTTCAGCGGGATAGGTGCTTTCCACACCATCTTATAGTTTGGACCTGATAGATTCTTTTCCAACCATTCATATAAGGATTTAGTAGTAAATTTCCCTTTGCTGTCAAGGCCCCATAGGATCCTATCTGGGGAGTCGTTTAACGACAGTTTTTTAGTTTCCATAACCATCCAAGCCCACTACTCACCCAACTCTCCAACCAGGCTACGCCTAAAGCCAAGTTCATAATTTTTCGCCGCCCGGGAAGCAACAGTACATTCCTGTTCATGACAGATACTAAAAAGATCAGGAAAGCGATCTTTCAAAGTAGTATTCTCAATCCAAGAATCATACCAGACTCTGGCAAGGTTTCCATTTTCAATCTTAATTCTCCTACCCGCCATATATGAATTCTTGACCTTCATAATCGCTTTCCAGCAGGGGGAGTCCGAAAAACGGCTCCGAACGTTGGCTACTGTTTTGTTTCTGAAATATTTTGCTCTTACTATACGCTGCCATAACCCATCGCTCGTTTCTAATTTCCACCACCACTTAGCGAGCAGGGCAATATTTTGCTTATGAAGATCTTTAATCCCTAGCCCCCCAATTTTTTTCGAACGACAAATTCTTGTCCACTTAACCATATGATACCCACGTTTCCCATTTTTTCTCCTCCAAAAGAAGCGTCTGCGATGTTTATCCAACTTTTCAATGAAGGTTTTGTTAAAGAGAAACATTGACATAAGGAAAGAGGGAATTCCATCCAAACTGGACCCCAACAAAGTCAATCTGGCCCCCGAAGATGCCGCATAGGCCACCCAGGCATCGAGCTTTTTGACCATTTTGCCGTCCAGGAAGTCGAGGTCAGCGTTTCTAAGAGTAGAGTAGGTAACAGGGACCCCCAAACATTTCATAGGAAGTGTG